ACTGTCATAATTTCAAACCGCCAGATCTAGGACTCAAACGATGTAGTCGGCCCTGTGGAATCCAGCCACCTTAACCACCATGCCACCTGGCTGGCCCCCTGGCAGGTTTAAAGACATGCTAACCATATTGTGTGTGCCAAAAATCCCAACAGGATGGAGAAATGGAAGAAAAGGGGTTCTGTAATGACCACGCTCCACTGGAAGGTGGTTTTTTCCCACTCACTGTTTCTGGCAAGTGCATATACCCTCTGCCAATTAAAAATAAAACAATAATTAACAAATAAATGACATATACAGTAGTACTCCCATATCTATGGGGGATACATCCCAAGACCCCAGTGGATGCCTGAAACTACAGGTGTACCAACCAGTACGCACACTGTATTTTTCCAGTCTGAAAGCAAGGGCGGCAGCTAAGTGACTAACAGGCAAGTGATGCATACAGCATGGATACGCTGGACAAACGACGGCCACGTTCCTGGTGGCACAGCGTAAGATATTGTCACATCGCTCAGGTGGCACACAATTTAAAACTTATAGTTTATTTCCAGAATTTTCTATTAATATTTTCAGACCACAGTTGACTGTGGGTAACTGAAATCGCAAAAGGCAAAACCGCAAATAAGGAGGGACTACTGTATTAAAGTCACTCACAGACAATTTCGAAGATGATTATCTGAAATTCCTTCATGTCTAAAAACTCCAGCATTCCCTAGTGAGCAGGTCTAAAATGAGAGACCCCATGTGGCCCTTCTCAGCACTGAAAATCCGCCTTCCTCCTCCTGTGACATCAGCACCATGACAAAGTTGGTAACAATACTTTAGTCAGCTTCTCTTTTCAATCTTAACAGATTAATTTATAAATAAGATGATTTACAAGTCAATATAACTAAATAATTTACAAATCCATACCTGAACCAAAATACTCCTAGCACACAGCCAATGGAAGAGCTCAGGGCTGTAAATTCTCGAACTGGAAGCTCATTTTATGATGGCATGTGTTTTCTTTTTCAGGGAAAAGGGCTCAAGGCTTTTATCACAGTGTTAAAGGTGTCTATGACTTTTCCCAGATGGTAAAAGAAAAAAACCCCGCAAATTACAACATATTTATTTCTATTCAATATAGCAAAACATGACCATTTTATGAGGAGCCACACTACCTATAACGCATTTTAAGTTTCTACGATCGGCAGTGAGAAGATGAGTGAGAGGCAGTAAAATACACAGGAACTACACATGTAAATCATTTCCCCCATGGCAGGGAACATTCGCATGTTTCTTCCTTGATGTATTAAAAGTCTAAATAGGATTCTCCTGAAAATACGATTAAATTAAGTTAAAACGCAATGCTGGCCTCTGCCTGGTCTGACTGAGGACCTCCTGAGGAGAAAGAGCAGTAAAAGGGCACCTGTGTGAAGGTCTGACTCGCAGCCAGAAGTGGTGTTTATGGAAAACTTCAGATGGAGCGCAGAGGCACTCCGCCAACAAAATCTACAGCTGTGAGACTTGGAGCTCACAAGTACCCAATCTCCAAAAGCAAAACTGGAATTATGGGATAGACTTTGAAGCTTGTTTATGCGCAAATTTTTCTAACAAGTGATTTTGTATTCTTCTATTCAGATATATATTCTCTGATCAACACTAAAAATATTTTCTAACACCAACGAAAACAGTGAAAGGGAATCCCACCCAAGAATTGATATTTACTTTTTTCCCCCCACAATTACTTGTAAACAAAACTCGAGGTGGCCAGAATAGAGAAGATTAAATTCTATACCCAGAGATTTGCAAGTTTTCTCCCAGTCTAACCCTCGAGGGATAACAACCTACTCCACGGTTAACACGGGTCCTGAAAACAGAACAGTTCCTGGCTGGAGGCTTGAGGGGCTGCAGCATATCAAATCTCCTTGAAAAAGTACCTCATGCGGTTTGCACATGCCCCACATCCCGACAGCCCTCTGTGCTCAGCCGTCTGCTGATCCGCACTCACAGGCTGCCTGCAATCTCCGGGGAAGGCAACCGGTAGGTAGGGTTAAATATGCAGAGCTGTAAGAACGCCAGGCTTCTTCAAAAGAAAGCTAAGTACACTACATGAGAAGGAATGTGGAGACCAGGGCTAAAGTTCTAAAGTGGGGAAATTACCGAGGTACACAGGCAGGACACTACTCCAACCAAGTTTTCAAGCACAATGTAGTACATTTGTGGATTAGACCATTCCTTCAGCCAGAACGAAAATCAAACACCTTTAGGGACAGAGAAACTAATTTTGTTTTACGATTTTTTTGTTTGTTTTTTCTGAAGGGCACATTTCTCTCTCTCCCCAGAGAGAGACTGAAAGAGAGAAAGAGCGAGACTACAAAATCACCCCCTAGATGAGTTGCCACACCACATCCCTTCTCCTCCATTCTCCTCTCAGGTACACTCATGCTTGGCAGGGGTTTAAGCTGCCAGGTCCAGGATTTGAACCACACAGTAATCGGAAATCACTGTCTAGAGACAGTTCAAATCGTACAAATTCAGAAATTAGAAATCAGAAAATTTCTTCACTCAAGATAGTGCTTTCTTGAGAATCATCTTGCCAAATCACTTTTGTCTCATATATCCCGAAGCTTATGGAAATAAGCTCCCAAGTTCAGTACCTTTCACTGTCTTGCCTACTATAATGTCCATGCAGAACATATAGCAGATACACACAAGAGTTCCATTCTTTCTTCTTCTTCTTTAATGTGATGGTGCAAGATGGAGACAGCAATAGAGGTAGATTTTTGACAATGTCTTGCCATGTCGAAAGTCTACTGCCCCCGTCTCCCAGTATGCCAGGACCACAGGCAGGCACCACCGAGCCCAGGCTGTTCAGACTGAGCTGTGAACCCAAATGGGGCCTCCCCAAAGCCACCATGTAGCAGCACCCCCAGGGTGCACCAGCAAGGCAAGGCTGCTTCTGCTTTCCTGAAGGCGGCATCACACCAAACCTGCCCTGGCGCATTTGCTGTCTGTCTCATCTTCGCCACGCTCGGCTAGCTGGGGTCACTGTGAAGTACAATTCCTACTAGTATACGAAAGGAGTGAGCGTCGCACACCAGTCTCACCTTTATGTTTTTCCCTTCCTTAGTTCTGAAGGTCAACATTTCTAATGCTGAGTCTGAACCTGAATTAAAGTATTTGGCATTATAAAACAAAGAAGGAATTAATATATTTTTATATTGTAGGGGAAGGAGAGGAATCTACAAAGGCGGATTTCACGCTCTAAGTGGCCTCATATTGGTCTACATTAATAATTTTCCTAGCAGGCCTCCCATGATTTTACTTTGAACAATCACAGTCTTTGTTGCTCAGATCCTCTTACGTGTGACATTCGATCAAAGTTTTAACATCAGCAGCTCACGGAGGTGGGGAAAAGGACCGCCTCACTAAGGCATTACACAAAGCCATACCACAGCTCATTTCCAGCTAGATGCCTTTTCAGCACTGAGTTAAGCTTGGACCCTGAACATCATGTTTTACTGTACTTCATCACACTTCTCTGAGAAATATCCTCTAACAATCACTAAAGCAAGTCTTTAGAAAATTCTTAAGTTCTTTCACACTTTTATAAAAAGGTAAGTACAAAGTAGTCAACAATTTTATTCCTCATCAAGATCTTCATACATAGCCTTTAAAAAAAAAAAAGTTATTTCCTTGGGAAGAAAAAAGAGCTTTCATGTAACTAAACTATACCACTAATTATGGAATTAATGGTAGCCACTGTGATGAGATATGGAAATATGTAGGGACTTACCGTGCAGGGGCGATCAGGCCCAGCACTGCAGTGGGACACGGTTCTTGTCTCACTCTCACTAAGAATTAGAGACACGGACACAGAGGGGAGAGCAAGCGGACTTCATTAAGGGGGGAAAGCAAAGCTCCTGAGCAGAAAGCGCATCCCGGAAAGGGGGTTGCTGAGGAAAAACTAGGGTGGGGGACTTTTCCCTGGGTCAGGAGGGCCTTTGTCCAGGCTTGTGGTGTATGCATTCCCTTCATGATAGGAGGGTCACATCTATAGGTTATGCTATACCTTAGGGTGGTCTCATAGTCATGTGACCCCATATAATGGTGGCTAATTGAAAACTGGTTTGTTCAGGAGCTGTTAATTTGGAAAAAAGGTCATTATCTCAGTTAATTTTGAGGGTCTGGTGATTCATATCTTGGAGTTCATCTCCCCAAATCAGGGAGGGTCCCACCCACCCATCAGGAGTGCCCTGCCCCATTCCGGCTGTTGTGATAATGCTTTTACACACATTACCTGCATGTTCTGGACAATGTCCTTCTGACCTTTTGGTCTTTGTCCAATTAAGTCTCATTACAAGGGGCCATGAATTCTTTAAGAGCAAGATTTAATCTCTAAGGGCAAAGGAATATGGTCACTGGGAGAGGAGAGGAATTAGGGTCAAGTAAAAGAGGGAAATTTGACAGGGACCACACAAGACAGCAACTCTCTCGGGGGTGAGGGAGGTGCCCTATCTCCCTTTAAATGGGATCTACCTCCTGTCTGAAAAAGAAAAACTAGTTATATGAGTTCATTAAATCATATCTAAAAGTCCTTATCCAAATAAATCTTCCCCAAAGAAATGATGGGGGAAAACATACAGGAAATACCTCACTTTAACATGCTATATAAGGAAAGACGTCTGAAAGGGAATCTTGAAGGGAATTTTATCCCTTTGAACTTTCAAATAAACTCTTAAGTATGATTATGCAAACTTACTAAAGACCAGTCCTGATTAGAGGGGAAAAAATGCACCCCTTCTCCAAGTCAGTTCTAGAGGCTTTCTCCAGAGTTGTTAAGGTTTGTGTTGGGTAAAGAAAGACCTCCTAACAAACCAGCATTCTTTTCCACATGATCAGAGCTAATTGGCCCCCCTGCAGACTAAGTGACCAATCACATCAGCTTCAGCTGAAACCAGCCCCCACGACATTATAAACAGAGGAATGTAAGCTGTAAACCCAGTCCAAGAAGAAAACCTTACAAACTAGACTTGTAGATTAAAATTACCTGATCAAAAAGACAGTCTCAACAAGTTTTCTTAAGACCTACTTTGGCATACAGACTGACCCAGCAAAAGATCTGGTGAGTACATGAACGAATATATATTCTTACTTCTTGCCTTAAGGGGAACATTTTGAATGACTGTAAAATTGGGACAGGGTTAGATTACTTCCAACAGATTTTTAAAACAAAGTATGACCCTATAGGGTCATACATTAAGGTTCTTCATTCTTTTTCCCGAAATGTTAAAAATGGAATAATAATCCTCCTGAAAGCATGATCAGAAATGTTCTTAATTATTCTATTACGTATACTAATACTTCACTGTAGTATAAAAATGAGAAAAAAGCCCTAAAAAAAAAAAAAATCAGTGCTCCTAATTTTAAAAAAAAAAGTGTATTTTTAGGGGGAAGGGATTAAAGAAACTTAAAGAGAGCATACAGAAACAAATGCCAAACAAATAAGTCACTTTTTATATTTTCAACCCATGAGAAAGTGATGAGTATCCTAATTTTATGTTTTCTTAAGCATGGGATTATTACTGAAATTAACAGATGTTTCTATAAATAAGAAATCAAAATATAAAAGAATCTCTGAGCTTATATAATAGGGTTAGAACTCACATTGTTTGCCCTAATTACGGAAGACAGGAAAGATGATTATAAGACTCTCAATACACTCTTAAAGAAAGTATTTATACCAGATGTGAAAAAATACATAGTAACACTATATTCACTTAACATTTGTAGTTACAGCCTACAGCTTAACTGTTTTATATGAACTTCTTTACTTCATTACATCACCATAATAGAAAAGACAGAATTCAAAGTGTACAACCTAATGAAAATTAACTCATTATTTTGATGGCCAAAGAAGCTGCCAAAGCATTGTTTTTATAATAAGTACTATTTTTTCCACAAAACAATTGGTAAGGGGCAGCCTACATACAAAGATATACAAACGAACCTTTCCGATCTTCCCTTTCTATAATACTTTCTATTGGAATCAGCTGATGAGAATCACAGACACACAAACCAAGACAAATGTATATTCAAAACCATTTGTGTGACTGTGGGAATATGAAAATTACCTGGAAATGTAATAATACAAACATAACGTGTGCCCATCAGACACTTTTTAATTTGATGGAATGAAAACCCAACATTTATCAATTACATAGTTTTTTAAAAACCATACAAACAGAGGCCAGCAGGTGGCGCAGAGGTGAAGCCTGCGGGACCTCACATGGCTGATGGCATGGTTGAGTCCTGGACCCTGGCAGTCTGAAAATTACACCAAGTGCATTTGTGTGCATGCCCAAAACCCCAAGAGGAGAATGGTGGAGAAGGGCTGTGGTGTGGCCATCCCTCCTTGGGGGTAATTTCTTGCTTTCTCTCTCCTCTCTCTCTGGGGAGGGCACGTACCCTATAGCAAACTTAAAAAAACCTACACAAGCAGACAGAAAATCTGGGATAAACTGTTAAGCTGGGATCAAAATCTTACTTCTCTCAACTTTGCTAACATTATCCAAACGAGATCCAGCAAAGTTTTAGTTTAAAAAAAAAAATGAAGGGAGGAAAAAAGGAAGGAAGGAAGGAAGGAAGGAAGGAAGGAAGGAAGGAAGGAGGAAGGAAGGAAGGAAGGAAGGGAAAATATGCTTTACTGTTTTGATGAGCCTTTGGACTTCCCCATTCACAGGATTTTCCATGTATTTAGTTGCAGGAGAAAAGAAAAATGACACTGTAAAGAGCCCAGAGTAAGAGGGCTACAAAAACTGCACAGGCAACAATCCTGAAAAGGCCCAAGTGAGAATTGATTTTATTAGCTACAGTATATATGGAAAGGCTCTCTCTCCAGGTAACAAAGTTTAGAAATTTCATAAAGAGGGCTGAAAAATCAAGAAGCAGCATGGAACTTTTCTCCTCAAACCTTTGTGGAACACTACACCGTAGCAGCGGTCCCAGGACTGGGGTTTCACAAGGGGAAGGAGCAGCAGTGTCCAGGCCCAGGGGGGCACCCTCAGGGGAAGCACAGAGGGAGTGGGACACCAAGTGGCTCACACACCTTTGTGAGACCAAGCAATTATCCTCTCATTTTACAGCCTTCTTACTCTCCAAGTGTCAAAACCTTTCATTGACATGACATAATTTTATCTTTTAACTGATTGTCTCACAGCAAAATATAGTTAGCAGGACGTTAGAATTTGCCCCTCCAACATGATATTAATTTTAGTGGTTTGCAGAATATAACTAGACTAATAATTCTGATGGTACTAATCCTCAAGTCTGAAAGAAGTCTTACTTAACTAAATTTATTTCTTACCTACAAGTCAGAGGTCTGAACCTAACAGACATACCTGAAAAGCAGATACTCTGTAGTGGCTTTGAACTAAAACTAGTCAAATGGAATATAGTGCTATTCACAAAGGCCACCTGAGGCCAAATGTCTGTTTTTGAGGCAATAAAGCACTGGTTCTAAACTCGGGGTGCATGAAATCTGTATGCACACTTATGACCTCTGCGATCTTTGCGTCTGTAAAATGGGAGTAATAATGGCACCTATTGCTGTGAACGTTTGTTAACCAGAAAGCAACTAACACTGAGAGCTCTATCTCTGTGCCAGATGCTTCCTGTTGGCTTCCATGAGTTAATACATGTGAACATTTGATTCCTGGCACATAATAAACAACACATAATAATATTACTAATCGTTACTATCATAAGGATCACATATAAATGTTTTAAGACATACTTCAGACAGTTACAGAAGCAAAAAGAAGCACTATTTATTTACTTATTTATTTATTTGGGAGAGGTTTTTGCTATAGGGTGCATGCGCTCAAGAGAAAGACAGAGAGAGAGAAACAGAAAGCGAGAAATCACCCCCGGGGGGATGGCCATGCCACAATCCCTTCTCCTCCGGTCTCCTCTCAGGATCTTGGACACACACACACACACACACACACACACACACACGTGCACCCAGTATGAGTTTAAGCCACCAGGTCCAGAACTCGAACCACAGTTGACTACATGGGAGTTCAGCAACATAGCCATTATGCTAACTGCTGGTCCCCCCAAAAAGGCATTTAATAACAGTGATGGAAATGGGGCTAGCAAAGACTATCTTGAGAACATAATATTCATTATCATGAAAAAGATTTTTGTTTCACCAACTTCTCTGAATATATGCAAATTCTTGTACTGAAAAAAGGAAAACAAACCAAAAAAATTCTAGTTTTAAAGATTATTATCCAAGTCTAAATAACTTAAAGTCCTAATCTATTTTGCTTTGTGTAAGTTTCTTTCACAAGAAATTGTCTGAGCCTCATTGACCTCATCTGAAAAATGGGGATAATAATGTATATCTGGCTGAGATATCAAAGAATTAAAGATAATACAGACCAAAAGCATCTAGCTAGTGCCTAAGATTTTGTTGTTGTTATTTCCAAAAGGACAGAGATCAGGTCTCCTAAAAAATTCAAAGAATCTAACAAAATAAAGGTCACTAAAAAGCTATGTAAAAAGAAAAAAAAATATGCTAAATAAAATGATTATGACAACTTGTTAGGGTAGAGTTATGAAACGTTAATACTCAAATTCTTTTAAAAGTCTGTAATATGAAGCTGAAATGGCCATCCAATCTAAATAAACTGAACAATCATCCCAGAGTTCCATCAGTAGCTCAAATCTGAAGAAAATCCAAGAGAATGTGTCTAGTACCAGCAATGCATGTTCAATAAGCCACAGAGCAAGACAGAAGATTGCATATACCCCGCTGGTCACTATCCAGTGCCGACCACACAGGAAGGCAGTCTCCAAAGCCCCAAAGTTCTAGGCACAGAAGGATCCAGCAAACTGAGTACCAACATAGTCCACGGGTCACTAGGGCCCTTCTTAAACGTCATTCACGAGGCAGGAAAGGGGTATGCAACACTCCCAGGAGTATCCACTTCTGAAGAAGAAGCAAGAAGAGTCAGATCTGAGCTCCTTGTACCGGACTGTGGCAATGAAGAGAGGAGCGCTCAGAAGAGCACAGCTCCATTTCCACTCTGTCCTGGCAGTCCCTACACAAGTCTCAGGAGACCTTTGTCACATCAAAGACGGTCACAGGGGAGCACGCAGCAGAGCTCTCCTCACTACCAAGAGAAAAGCATAGCAATGATAAAAACTATTTAGAGCAGGAAACTAGTTCTAACAATTTTGCCTTCTAAATTGCCATTTGATCTCTTAAAGATTAATTTAGTTCATCAAATGCTTGAGTCTTTTTCTCTGGGTTTACTCACTTTCAAAGCTTAGTTTGTCTAGAGAACAATTCTCTCTCCACCTCATAATCAAATCAGTACTGGAACGGTCCAAAACGCAGCAATCCATCAGCTAGGGTAGAAAGAATCCACGAATATGGCCACAAAGGGGCAAAACCGACAACTAATTGCAAGGCTCTGAACAGAGAGCCAGCCCATAGTCTGGTGGTTAAGGTGGCTGGATCCCAAAGGGTCAACTGGATGGTTCAAGTCCCAGACCAGGCAAATTGAGAAGCATGCCGAGTGTGCGTGCGTGTGTGTGTGTGTGTGTGTGTGTGTGCGCCGTCCCCAAAATCCCAAGAGGAGGAGAAATGGAGAAGGACTGTGCATGACCAGTTCCCCTGGGGCCACTTTCACACTCTCCCTGCCTCTCCAGTGAGTGTACACACGCTCTGACCTAAAACAGAACCATGAACGGGCTGCAATAACACGGACATGAGAACTGTGCACCCTGAATTTACCACAGTACAGTCTTGTTCTAATGCTGAGTCTGGAGTCAGAAGATTCGCTGACAGTATTCTACGAAGCTTCCCAACGATTTCTATTTATTTACACAGAACAACGCTTGTATATTTCGACTTCCTCAATTGTGAATTATTCCTAATTATGAAAAGCTGTTACTTACAAGATACTCATGCCTGGGCTTGGGCAAGGACGTTCAAGGGTGTCAAAAAGGCATGTATCATAACCCCCCACCCTCGAGAATTCTAAAAGGTACTTGGAAACAGTACTTTAGAGCGATATTCTAAAATGTACTTGTCAAGCAATATTTTAACAGTCATTCATGGGAACAACAAAAGAGAGATCCTGAGGTAAAACGAGGTTAGCTAGTAATGCACGTCTCAGCGAGTAAGAGCCTCCTTATATGAAGAGAGAAGGGAGAAACACGGGAAAGCCCGAGGCACTTCCAAGAAAGCAGAAAGTGAATGAGGTTTCAGAATTCTTTAATATTAACTATAAAACAGTTCACGGCTTTCTGATTTACTCTTGGTTTCAGAGCACACAGCCTGAGATGGAAGGCAGTAACTGCAAAGTTATTGCTCCTCTCCTAAGTCAGAGATACCGGAGGATGGTCACCAAGGATGGCCACAGCACACTTCAGATGGATGGTGCGCAGAGAGGCCTTGCCTACCTCCGAGACGCGTGGGGGATCCTAATGGACATGCGCTGGCGCTGGATGCTGCTGGTCTTTTCTGCTTCTTTTGTTGTCCACTGGCTTGTCTTTGCAGTGCTCTGGTATGTTCTAGCTGAGATGAATGGTGATCTGGAACTAGATCATGATGCCCCACCTGAAAACCACACTATCTGTGTCAAGTACATCACCAGTTTCACAGCTGCATTCTCCTTCTCCTTGGAGACACAACTCACAATTGGTTATGGTACCATGTTCCCCAGTGGTGACTGTCCAAGTGCAATCGCCTTACTTGCCATACAAATGCTCCTAGGCCTCATGCTAGAGGCTTTTATCACAGGTAATTGTCTTTGGTTTTTTCTTAAAAAAAAAAAAAAGAAAGAAAACAACTGCAAGTGTTTCAGAAAGGGTATACTCAGTTACGAGCAACTCTGTTACAGAATAATCTATATGTGATTATTGGCAGATAATGTCTAAGATAGAAAAGAAATAGTCCAGGGCCAAATCATAGGAGATGTGTAAGGAACGTGACTCAGTATTTAAACTTTACCCACTGGAACAACTTAAGAAAGGGATCATTATGACACTAATTTGCCAGAACATCCTATGCCCAAAATACAGTGGCAAAAGGTCCACCAGGAGCTGTCCACAGAGGCTTAACATTTTGTTACAAAGTGAATAAATATGTTCCATGCATATTTTGACAGTCATTTTACGTAAAAGGAAGAATTTGATTTTTCTTCTTCCTCATGGGGCTAGAGTTTTTCTCCTCTGACTTCATCTTTTCAACATTTACCCAACACCAGTGAGCCCAGAGCACCACAGTCAGCATTATATGTTAGAGAACAAGTTACATATACACACATCCTTATTTAGCAAAATGAACTAGAAATACAGCCATAAAATGATTATAAAACTCTGCTTATAAACCTAGTAACATACAAGACTCTTCACTAAAGGAGGGCAAGTGTGACTTTTATGTAGCATATACAATTAGAAGGAAAAAAACTGGCTTTACCCTACATTCAGTGATAGGGTAATAAGCAATGTAACATGGAGTTAAGTCCCAGTGTGCTACAAACTAGCTCCGTAATGTATAGCAAATCATTTCATTTCTACAACAGTTTGGCACTGGGTCAGTCCTTGATTTAAAGTTAGAGGATCTGTAAAATTAAAATATCTTTTCCATTAAACCCCAACTAAACTTTGTGATTTCTTTCAATTACAAATTTGGTGATATAAAAACAATGGCATCAACAGTATCAGTAAGTTTGATACAAACAAACCACATATTTCCATATTAAATCTACCACTAGAAGTTGTTATTCAATGCACTAACAAAACACATATATTATAATAGAACTTTTTTTAAATCTTCAAACAAATTTCAATACATTTGGATTCCCTTTAATTTCATTTTTAAGTATTTAAGACATAATTCTGAAAAGTGCCACAGAGGCCTTACTAGCCTTTCAACAAGATCTGTGACACAAAAATGGTTAAGAAACCCTCATCTATAGCTTGGGACACATGGAAAATGGACCTGAAAGGTGCACTGAAATCACTTTATTGCTAGAGCCTCCCCTAAAAAAGGTGTAAGCTTCAAAGTTAAAAAAAGATCTTCAATGTGTCATTCAGTCATTCTACCAGTCCCCTTCCCACCGCAAATCATTCTATTCTGAATCTGGTTGTAACCAAATTGCTGTTATTTTTCTACCGCATTTTTAAGTGGGTATAGCAATATAAGAAATGATCAATTATTTGAGTTTGTAAGAAACTAGAGGGTAAGGTTTAAAATTTGTATGTTACAAAATCTATTTTGCTTATCCATTCTGATTTTCATGACTTTGACATAGAAATGTATGAATACTCTAAAAAATTCTTGAGGCAAACAAATGAGACTCAAGTTAACAATGAGTCCAATTCCGGACTCACTGAAGGCATAACGCCAAGAAATGTGTAACTATTTGATATACTCTTGTCATTCAGAAAGATACGATATTTAAAGTCTTCATTCTAAAAAAAAATTCAATGGTTTCTAATTTAGGTGCCTTTGTGGCGAAGATTGCCCGGCCAAAAAATCGAGCTTTCTCAATTCGCTTCACTGACTTGGCGGTAGTGGCTCACATAGACGGCAAACCTAATCTTATCTTCCAAGTGGCCAACATTCGACCTAGCCCTCTAACCAATGTCCGGGTCTCCGCTGTTCTCTATCAGGAAAAAGAAAACGGTGAACTCTACCAGACGAGTGTAGACTTCCACCTTGATGGCATCAGTTCTGAGGAATGTCCATTCTTTATCTTTCCACTCACCTACTGCCACTCCATCACACCATCAAGTCCTCTGGCTACTCTGCTCCAGCATGAAAACCCTCCCCACTTTGAATTAGTGGTATTCCTTTCAGCCATGCAGGAAGGCACGGGAGAAATATGCCAGAGGAGGACATCCTACCTACCCTCTGAGATCATGTTACATCACTGTTTTGCAACTCTGCTGACCCGCAGTTCCAAAGGTGAATACCAAATCAAGATGGAGAATTTTGACAAGACCATTCCTGAACTTCCAACTCCTCTGGTCTCTAAGAGCCCAAACAGGACTGACCTAGACATTCGTATCAATGGACAAAGCATTGACAATTTTCAGATCTCTGAAACGGGACTGACAGAGTAAGACTTATCGATGGCACCCTATTTTTTAATGTATTAAATATACCCAAGCAGTTATGCAGTTACTTTTTTGTCACTGTATCTCATGTTTTTCCTTTTTTTCAATGCTGATTACATCTCTCTGATTACATCATGGTAATCATGCCTGTGCCCACAAAGAAAGGCTGAGCTACTGATACACATTCTGCAAATGTAACATTCTACCTTACAAAGTCTGTATCTGTGGTTATCTGCTGAAATCAATGTGACTCAACTTGACAGATACTTACACAGAAATGATGCAGAGGCATTTGTAAGGATGTGGTATGAAACTAGTAATGAAGGTAAAATGGACAGGAAAGTTCAATGACACAGCTGAATTCTAAGAAAATCAACCAGAGAGCTCTCATTTTCATCTGCAAATTGAAGCAATAGTCCGGTTTCAAACCTAGCTCCCTGGGTAGAATGATGATTTCACAACATTCAGTGAACATCCTTATAAAACTGTTCCTCTTTCAAGCCAACAAAGATGATTCCTTTGGTTCTTTATACTACAACTTAGGGTAAGTATTGCCTCCTTAATGTATAACAGCTAAAACCACAAACTTCTAAAAAAAATGACAAGTATACATTTATGCAGAACACTAAAAGCATATGAACATGACATCCAAACACATGCACATATTAATATATTTGTGGCAGAAAGTGACCCGAACAAATTAAAGATAAGCTCTAGCCCAAATGAGACCTGCAGGGCAGTATTTTTGGCAAGAAGATACGATAATCACCTTTCATCTGAGTGGCTACCAGCCCAAGAAAAATAACCACTTCCTACCTTTGACCCATTCAATGGAATAAAAAATCATGACAGCTCTAAATAATTTTTAAATGGAAAATATAGTTAGGTTTTCACAGACATAAAGGTTTAGTTAGTTATAACTCAACTAGGAAAAAATTCTCCAATAAATAAAGCAAAAAATAATTAGGCAACAAAGTACTTTCAAATCCAAATTCCTGTCTCCAACTTCAAATAGTTTTTTCTATAAACACAAAATGAGTGTTTACTCACCAGTAGGAGGCTGGACTAGATAAACTCTATTATTTCTTCCCAAATCTAAAACTCCATGAAAATTATGCTTTCTCTGCTTCAATTTGTATTATATATATTAAGATGAGCCTTCTCCCTTATAACCAGTTTAATTTAAGATTATCTTATGTATATTTTCATTGCAATTAAAGGGAAAAAAATGTTACAAACTGTCCTCAAACAAAACAAGAACCAAAAACGTCACCCTATCAGGTTTCAAACACATTTGTAGCTGCTCTTATTTTTCAAAAATCTCCTTTTTTCAGATTATGTGGGAAAAGTAAAAGATTAACCTTGCCTACTGGTTAGAAAATGACCAGGCAGGAAACGTCTCTTAAGTAAAGACAAGGAGTTATGAATAGCAGAGTACAGCAGCAAGTCACATTTTTTCTACTCTTTAACCAAAAGGAAAAGGAAATAAAGAAAAACTGTGGAGTGGTATAAGACCAATAATAAACAGAAGAACATGGAGAGCACTGACAATTATTGTGGAACTTTTGCTGTTTAAAAATCTTAGGTGTTCTTAAGTAGGAGCCAGACCAACAGATTTTTTTTTTCCCAACCCAAGACTACTGTAACACAGAAAGATAGCTGGAATTCTTATGTCTATAATAAATTATCAAGATTCACCTGATCTCTGAAAATAAAGTAGCATCGAAGGCTGACATGGTATGTTTTTTCCTAAGAGCACTGTATCACTTATCCATCACAACTGCAACAGCTCCACGAAGCTGCCCAGGATGACAGACACAGGGACTGAGGAAGATCTGGGCTCTGCATTCTTCCTGTATACATGCAGCAGGTTCACATTCAGGTCAGCTAAGTCTCACACTAACTCTTCACATGCAACTTGGTATTCGAAAGCTAAGTGTGACTTCCCCTACACACACACACACACACACACACACACACTGGGGGGTTTTCGATAAACTATGCTGTTTAATAAATACTTTATGAATAGTTAATGAAGAAATGTGATCTAAAATGCTTTGTCTAGGCAACAGGAAGCTTCTGGGAGCACTGTTCATGATCCTTTCACTTACTTCGAGGAAACACAGTCTCTAGGTTAAGGATTTAAGTTTTCTTCCAACAGACCATTATTCTCTCAAAAAAAAATGAAACACGAATGGGAAGGGGGACACTACTGGAAGGAGGGGTGGCAGTGCTGCCCTTCTGGACGTGTGGCTCACAAACCTGGCCGCTGTGTCTGACATGCAATCAGGAAGTGCGCTCTAGAATTACTGATAATGTAAAGTACAACTGGAAACCAACACAGATAGCATGACAGTTCCAACGAACTGAACACAGGTAGTTACCAAAATTCCAATCAAGCATATGTAAGCCAAATAAATGTGTAAGCCCATATTACTAATAACCAGAAACAATCTATACCCAAAAATTACTATGTCAGTTTCTAAGTAACCACACACCAAAATGCACTAATTAGTATCACAATGGGCTAAGCCTACAGTATCATCAGTATAACTGTTTTTTAGACTCTTTCATTTCATCCTCACAGACTCACACTATCAGATGATCACTGTAACCGACCTCCTCCACTGCAG